ATACATGGTGAAAGGGAAATGCAGACGAGACCTGTTACCCCGATTCACTGTACAACGTGAGACTCGAACAGAGGATTGCGGAGGCGGAATGCACCGAATGCGATGGTTTTACAGACTGCTTTGGGATGGTGGAAACGTCGCTTATCATGACTACATGAAGACCGTGCTGACCAAGGAGGAGATCGAATCAATGATCAATCCAACTGCAACAGCTGAGTATGTCGGCGACATTTTCGAATTCTGGCTTGGAATGCTTGATCTGGGTATTCAATTCCCTACTATGTTCGCTGGATGGGGGGCAAACCTTGACAGTTGCCTCGCAGGACTGGAAGAGTCGTTTTGGCTATTCAGCAGTTCATGTCGACCTACCGACACCATCAACACAAAGCGAAACCGATCCAGGAAAGCATACATCCCGCCGGTCGAGAATGACATGGTGATTACAATCTTGAAAGAAGCAGGAATTTTTGACCTACTCATGCAGAAGAAGATCACCAGAATGCCGGTGCTCCCAGAAGCCAACTACGATGACCACCCTGAAATGATTGAGGTCTCATCAAGCGATGAAGAGGTGGATGAAGTTGATGAACCTGATGAGGAGACCACGACGCCTACGGCGCGGGGCCCTCGAGCAGAACAAACTTCAGGAGAAACCGATGCCGGAGCTGGTGACATCGAGATTGAGGAGGAGGAAGATGACATGGGGGGACAACCTTCAGAAGCGAAGAAGCGCCGAACTGAGGTGCGTGACATCCGTGATCGATTTGAGAAGCTGATTTCAGATGCATCGGATGTTCAATATTGTTTCATTTGTGGTGGAAGGCATGACATTGATGAATGTACTACACCAGACGATGAGAACATGAAGGACACCTTATGGCGCATGAGATTGATCATGGATCAGAAGTCCAAATCCCCATCATCATCCGAAAGATCCAAAGCTGCGACCAGAGGCAGAAAAGACAAGCTCCCAAAGAACGTCATGCCGAGAGGAAAGCGTTGGGGAAGAACCAGATTCACTGAGAAAGAGGAAGTGACAAAGTGCTTCTATAGTCAGTCAGCCTTTATGTACGACATTGGTGATCGTGAAGAAGGAGGACAATACTTAGTGAATGGTGTCGAAGTCAACCCAATTAGCCGAGGTGTGAAGAATCGTCATGAGCTTGACTTGCTGATTGAGCGTGCGGCTGAGGAATCCCCGCCTGTTTTGCCGACCATTGAAGAGCTGAACACTTGGAACCCCCTCGATCATGATGCTTATGTAAAATGGCTTATTGAAGAAAGAAAACAACGTGGGGACAACTGGAACTTCAAGTACATCCAACCATTTACACATGGCCACAACATTGGTACACTTCAACTTGCTCGCATCAATGGAGAAGAATATCTTGGAATGGGCTGGTGTAAAGTGCATCGATATGGCGAGAATGAGTGGATGGGCAACAAGTGGGAAAATCCACCATGGATAGTCGAATTGTCGAAAAGATTCAATGCAGCGCTACGCCACTCCGTGGGTTGCGTCAGAGACAATCGAAATCACCGTGGACTACCATGCGATGAGGCAGGTTGGGTCAATGTTGAGTCGATCTTGAAGTACGATGCCATTTGGAGAGACCAACATACATTGGCTGGAACGACCTACGTCAACTACCCGATACTTGTTGAGAGGTGGAACAATTTCCAGAGAGTGATCTTCACTGAGTACAAGCAAACGAAGAGAATCCGAGCACAAGTGCTAGGACTCAAGGTCACGAAAGGTGAGTTGGAACACATCATGAACAACTTCAATGATGGATTGACCTCTAGACTTGATCGACAAACACTGAGGTTGGAGATCGGCACAGCAGATCGAGAGATTTGGCTTTGGCCGGTGGCAATCCGTGCCCCTATGGCACATTCAAGAGTTCAAGGCGGTGTGCACATCGAAGACAAGAAGACTTCCTATCAGATGAACCCTGGAGTAGGATACACTCTTGGAGGAGGATTTCATTGCACCACATTTGACAACATCGCTCAAATCTTCAGAGAAGGACTACGTCCCGGAGGAGGAGGCGACCGCATCAATACGTTCTTCGTGCCATTCGCACCGTGGGACGTGCGAAGTCAGACGGTGCTGAGATTCAGGAAGATTGATCAGACTGATCTTGTGTACATCTACATCACGTACGATTCCATCGCCAAGTTCTCCCCTAGATTGTCAGCAGACGGACACATTTTGGTCCAAGAAACAATTCCATTCGAATCATTCGATGCAGTTTGGTATTACGACTGGAGAGAGAAGGACTACTACCGTCTCATGATCACAAAGGGAAGAGATCAACTTGTACTTTCTGTGCAAGGAGCGAAGAGGGTGGCCACCATTGAACGATTTGACAAGCTCATTGGGAACATTGTGCCTGATGAATCATCACCCGATCTGGACGAACTTCGAAAACTTGTCGATATCAGGACCGGTCACTTCAGTCACACTCACAGGTTATTCCCTGGACATCCGGATTGGAATGATGCAATATCATTGCTGGCAGTTACTCATCATCCCAGCAAGGAGGACCATCGACTATGCCCCGCATGTCTGATGGAGACCCCTGCACCACTATCGATTTGTGTGATGTGCAAAGGATTTTTGGTGAGTCATGGATGGAGGAAACGAATCAAGATCACCGTGGCTACAGTACCAAGTGCCGAATCACATCATCGAGAAGAAGATCTCAAAGACCATGTCAAGAAAGCATGGGAGGAGGTGAAGATCGATTTGACAGGTGATGGTGATGACGACGAGGAGATGCCAAATGATGATGATGTCACAATGAAGAGTCCAGAACAAGAACCTCAACCAGAAGAAGAAAATGATGATCAAGCCTCGAAGAAGGGCGACATCAATGATGAGAAGAGAGACTTCAGAGAACAAGATGAAGTCGACAAATTTCTCAATCAGGAAGGAAAACCGACCGATGAGAACGACGATGAAGAGATAGCGGTCGATGAAATCAACATTGAAGAATATGAGGCTGGAGAAGCTCGTGATGCAGTGATTGAGTACCCCAAGTGGATGCAGCGGATTGAGTTTGGATCAAAGGTCCTACCAATCGAACCTTGCACAATTGGAGATGCTCAGCCAGAGCTCATCAAGATCCTCCTGTTGCAGATTGGATTACATATCGTCAGGATCTACAGACTATTCCAACGGAACTTCTGTGGAGACATCGAGACGGCATGGAAACATTTTCAACAGAACCAGAAATTTAGGATGGACCTGGACTCAAGAACACCTTACCTGGGCGAGGATGAAAATGGTGAACTCATTGAACCAACTGCACAACAGATGAAAGAGCTCTACAAAGAGATCGGCCGACCAAATCAAAAGGACGACATCGGAGAAGAGGGATTCGTCAATGCATACTATGGGGCAGTGGTACTCAAAAGACTTCTCGTATATACCCTTGAATGTGGCTACACGTATGATGACTTGCAAAACATCTTCTTTGATGAGGAGATGGAGAAGCTGTCGAAACGTGACACAACAATGGATGAGATGAGAAAGACCACAGCGGCCCGCGACGCCCTTGACCGACAAGACGTCATGGTCAGAAGAATCATTGCAGGTGCATATAGGGTAAATGCTGTTTATTTCTTCAGGAACGTCGACTTTCAAGACACAATTACACTGAACCCAGTTGACATTGTGTGTGCTCTTCGTCCACCACTTCGAAGAATATCACTTTTACACCTGATCCTTCAGAATGGCCGACAATTACCACGACCTCTACTCCAAAAGCTATATGATGCGATCGATGACTACAATCACATTAAGCAACGGGAAGATCAACGACCAAGGTGGGGCATCCACTTGTCTGAAGCTCACATACTTGCGATTGCTGATACCCCGACTCCTGCTGATCGTGAACGTACTAACCCAGCCGCTGGCAAGTCGAAAGCAGCCCCGAAAGCAGCACCAGCACTGGGAAGAGTGTCGAAAGCGAAAGCATCATCGTCAGCGACATGGAGAACAGTTGAAACCGCTCCTCAGCCAAAACAAGCTCCAGGAACCCCGCCAAAGAAGGGTGGAAAAGACCAAGGAAAAGGTGGAAAATCCTATTCACACCGTGGCGGAGACTGGAACCAACAGGGATACTATGGATGGGGATATAGATGAATAAGCGATCTGACCTCTGCATAGGTCCTGATTGAATCTGGCGATGCGAGGATGCAATCATTGCTCAAGATTTACCTCTACTTCATTTTGAATGATTTCTGAGAGGACTCTGAGCCGGCTAATTTAGAACCACACATTTTTTTTGAACATCATTGCATGAGGCGCTGAGTTTCTACAGCGGTCTACATCTCAACCGACGAAGGAACGGGAAGGTAAACTTCTAGTTCCACAGTCAACTTTGTATTTTGATTTCTTTAATTCACATGCTTGAGTGAGACTCCATGCTGGCTACGCCACATCGGATGAACCTCAATGCTAGACACCGACTACGTCGTGTCTACATGCACGTGAACAGAACATTTATCTTTTGGTAGAGAATGTAGCAAGCCGCCATGTAGACATGAAGTTCTGAACGGACTTTAGCTCCCCATAATTCAACAAATGAACAGCTGCGAGTGTAGTGGATCAGTTTAAAGGACACTCCTTTGCGCGCAGCCACCAAAGTTGGTCGTGCGTGGGGGGTGCGAATAGAGTGTAGGCTACGGATCACTGTATATTTGCACAATTAAGCACTCTAGGATCCAGCACCAAAGGGGCATTCCAAAACTGGCCTCTTTGGCTCAAGACCCACTGCAGCACTGGAGAAAAGAATAGCAATGCGGAAGCTGATGCCCTTGTAACGTTGTCACTGGATCAACTACTACAACATAAACTATCAGGACATAATCGGACAGGCAATCCCCGATTCGCATATACATATATATATATATGTATCTATATATATTTACATATGGGTTGTTAACCACCCAAAGATCAATTCATGGCTCCCATCTCCTCTCCATCTGAGGCCCGAGTACCAAGGGCCCAAGTTGGAGCCGGACGCAGCGTTGACGCTGGACTTTGCCCGGAGACCTCAGCTTGGGAAGATCCATGATGGTATGTCCAATGGTATGTGGTAAGCCCATTAAAAAACCCTACCATTTTGGAGATTGCAGTATAGTGGATAATCCATGATAATCCATGATAATCCATGATAATCCATGATAATCCATGATAATCCATGATAATCCATGATAATCCATGATAATCCATGATAATCCGTGATATTCCATGTTTCCCTTACATTATAATGGTATATAGTGGGATATTCCAGTATAATGGTATATCATGATCTAATGTGTATGGTATAGAATGGTAAAGATAATGAATCATATGGTATACAGTGGAATGTAATATACTGATTATGATATCATATCACTATCTACAACATAGTGGATATCCATGATATTCAATTATATTCAGTGATATGGTATGTAATGGTATGTATATACTGGTATGTACTGGTATATAATGGTATGTACTGGGATTCAATGGTATATAATGGTATATAACGTGGTAAATTCAATGCCACAAAACAAACCTACCATTTGAGGATGGTTTATTATCGGGTTTACAACATTATAGTGATATGTAATGGTATCTGCTAAGTGTAGACATAGTGACAATGAATCGAGTTGGATGATCTCTCAAGTTGTTTGAGTGGCAAGATCTGCAAAAATATCCCAAGATATCTCAGTTCAAAACAGATTGTACCCTCTGGTGAACTAACATAGCTATGGAAAATCACCATTTTTAATGGATAAATCCACTATTTTTATGGTCATTGAGGGTATCTCAAATTTAGGCCTTTCCGAAGAAAACCGATTGGCTCTGGAGCTTGAGGTCCACCCTGGCGGTTTTTTTCTTCGGTGGATGTTTTTTGGTGTCCATGGAAAACTGAGAAAATCATAAGCTGAGATGGGCTCGAGGTAATGGAGCTGGTGAGACACTTCCAACATCATAAGAATGTCGGGAGGCCCAGAAATGCCCAGCTGAAACGCTGCTGAAACGTTGCTGGAGTTCCAACATTTTCAGTGCTGGCCATGTTGGTATCCGTGGCTAATTCCAGAGTCACCCAGGGAACCAGACCTGGGGGTTGAAGTTATCTGCGATCGTGGCACTGTGACTCTGATTACATTGATACACAGGCATTGAAACTGTTCAACCATCTTGACACACCAGAAATACCCTCCAGAAAATTAAGATAGATATGCAAAATGCATGGTGTCGCGTGGAATATGATCTAGAAATAGTGAGGTGTCCATATCTATGTTCATGGAAACTACAGGGCATCTACAGAATTATGTTATCACATCCTCATGGCTATTGGTCATTCCAAGCTCCAGGGCTCCACATGACCCAGGTTCCCTTACCAGCTCGCTATCTCTGCAGGCCCGGCCCAGCTGGTTGCAGTTGCAGTCCAGCTGGTTGTTTCCAGATGGATTTCTGAATGTTGATCGACCAAATGGATTGATCTTGATAGATTCGAGTTCCGGAAAATGTGGTACCCTCTGGTTATGACTAACATAGCCATGGTATAGATGGCCCTAATCGAAATATATAGATGGTTTACAGAACTTAAAAATGGTGATTTTCCATGGCTATGTTAAATGATCAGATGGTAAAGCCAATAGTCTAAGAGTCACAAAAACCATCCCATTCACCAATCATGAACCATTAGCCATCCCATTGTCCCCAACCATTGGTGGCGCTAGGGCCCCATTTACAAATCCATCGTTTTTTTGGGTATCCCCCTTGTGGCCAAAAGGTTACTGGAGGATGCCGAAAAGATCCTCGAAGTGCGGGTTGCGGCCTCAGCGCAAAAACCGCTGATTTTCATGGCAAAATTAGGGGAGTTTCGTAGGGAATTTCCACATCAGTGGGACCATTTATGAGGTGTGTAATCTGTGTAATATTAGGGGGATGGGATTAGATGTCTGAAACAGTTTGAACAAAAACAGTGCCATCTGAAATTACTTCATGCTAGCAGGACATTCGGATCATTTGGCAACAAATCTACATCTTGTTGGGGCTCCATTTGCCCCGCGGACAATGGTGTCTGTCTTCTGGGCAGGACAAAGATGGCCCTGTACATCAGTTGAGCATGCGTGGAGACCGAGAGTCTGAGAGGAAACCACCTGCGACCTCCAGGATGTAGATAGATGCGTCTTTGTTTTCATGCTTTACTTGGGATAAATATGTATATATAATACTATATATATATGTAACATACATGTGTATCACACTTGAGATAAGTCCTCGTGAGATTGGCTTGTCTATGTGCATGTATAAACGCACTGGTATCAGTATGTGCAAAGATGAATGGATAAATGTGTATGTGTGTATAGGTGTATATACATACACATACAAATATACATACACATATAGATAGATGGAAAGACAGGTGGCTCATTAGCCCTCCAGGTGTCATGGTCCTCAGTCAATTCACTCCCAAACTTGCGATGCTTTGCAGGGGTTCAAGCTGATTCCATCCAAGTATTTGCCCCTTTCAATTTTGTCCCACAAAATGGGTGTTTTTCAACCCATTTTGGCTCCCCGAAAAAAGCCTGTCTACACCGAGGAAGACGTTAAGGCCCCACGAGACCGAAAACTTGGTCATTGTGGGGGACCGCGCAAAAAGCCGGTGGCCGTTCGGGCAGAATTTCTTCAGACCCTTGGGAGCCCAGATGGACAAGTGGTGAGCTGAAAATTGTACCCTCTGGTTATGACTAACAGTTTGCCATGGAAAGATCCACCATTTTTAAGAACGGTAAACCATCTATTTCTATGGGCCATTTTCCATGGCTATGTTAGTCATAACCAGAGGGTACAATTTTCAGGTCACTTAGAGCTGACTGTCAAACCAGTCAAACCACCTCTATATTGGCGGTGTCCACTTTGTCGACCCAGAAACACCAGCGACCATGGGTGTAGTCTGTGTGGTGTCTTGGCGCAGGACCTACATGGACAGCTTGCAGATCTACTGTGGATCTTTTTTAAGGCCTGGGCCACAAGTCGGACTCAGATGGTGAGGTGTAAACTACTGGGACCACTTGTGAAGTTGCTTGAATGGATAGAGTAATAGCTGGTGTCCTTTGAAATCCATGGATCCCGCATGTGACCACACAAACGTGGTCGACAGTTAGTCTCAGTTTACCCTGATCATCTCACCGTGGCCGTGAATCGCCAGCACTTGGGCAGCCCATGGCGTTTACCGCCTCGGGATGAGATCCTCATCATCCCAACCCCCAGAATTCCCCAGATCTTTGGGAATCGTGCCGTCTGCCGTCGAAGTCTGCGACCGTGATTTCCCAGGCTCCCCATGTTTTTTTTTGGGACTTTCAGCCTTCCCAGATCCACCAGAACCACCAGATCCACTGAAACCACCACGGCTCGCCACGGCCACGGCCACGGCCAGGTGGGTGTCCCTTCCCCGTCCAACCGTTTCTTGTTCAACGGCGACATCTGCGACCGTGGCGAGAACGCGGCCGAGATATGGGCCCTGCTGCCACTCAGCCTGAGACCGGCCGGTTGGTTGTGATTTTTGACATGGGAATGATCATCCAACATGGAAAATTATGGAAAATTATGGAAAATTATGGAAATATCTCATCCAAATATGGGAATATCCTTGGAATATCATTGGAATATCCACTATAACATACTATAATCCTATATAATGGAATACGATAGGGGTCTTGTTTGACTGCGCAATGGAGACGCAAATTGCATCCTGCTGGAAAAGATGTGTGCCTTATGGTATGGACTTGGTTCTTGAGGAGCAGCGCCTCTCTCTGGTAGCGAAATGAAGAAAACGGAATGAACATGGCAGTAAACAGCAACTCGATAAGGTTTACGATGGCTCATGCATTGTTTTGTTCTGGTGTTGGGCTTTTACTTTTGGCAAGCTATATAGACTGCAGATATTGTGACATCCATCTTTTTCTTTTGAAGTTGCAAGTAACAAGATATATATATATACACATTATCACAGGGAAGAACACGTCTTTAGACATTGTTTGTTTTAACTTTGAAGAAACGAATCTGAAACGGAATTCCTCGCATTTTTGGAAACAGGACTTTTGGATATGACGACCGATGGGTTTTGAGAACAGTTTGGATGTGAAATCTCCAAACAAAAACCGAAACGGGAGAGCAGCGTGAAAGGATTGTATATATATATACACACTGTATATATATATATATACACACTATATATATAAATACATATGCACATCATCCGGTGAAAAAGTAGATGGCCGCAATTTTTGAGTTGCACCACCTGAAATTCATGATCCGAAACGGGAAAACCACCGACGGTGGATCAACATCCATCCGGTAAGGACCCGAATTTTGGCACAGCTCAGGATGGTGATTCTAATAGGGACAATGATGATGAGGCAAAGGCAAACCAAAATGGGAAGAACCTGGTAGCTTAAGATGATGACTTACCATTTTTTCCGTCAAAATCTCCCACTTTTGTTGATAGAACCACTTTGTTTGGTGATTAGACCCCGATGTTTGGTGGCAAAATTCTGTGATTTGAGATCATTTAGGGGGTTTGGAGTTTGTTCAGCTAGTGCATTTTGAACATGGCACACTACTCCCTTATCTCAGGAATAGAACCTCCACAACCCACAAGCGCAAAGGATCCGTTCTGCGGAGACACTTTACTCTTGTCAAACCTGGGTTTGGTTGGCTACTGTAATGGGCAACTGTTTGGGTATTTTCGATAAAGGAATGCTCAGATATTGCACTTAAAGAAGCAGAAAGTAACTTCTTCAAGGGTTACCTATAGCCTATAGTTTCACCATGTTCCGTAGCATCGGAGGATCATATAGGATCATCTCTTCAAAGTCCAACTGGACCCGAGGTTTGCCTTCATGTCCCTCTGGCCCGAATCGGTTTACATCCACCGCGGCAACCATGAGGAGCCAATGATCCCCGACTCACCGACTCACCACCTTTTTTCCCTCTGGAAATCGAACTCGGCGCTGGAAATTTCCAACCATTTCCACAGCTTATCCATGTGATCAGGGTGAATTCCAAGATTTTTGGCTGCTTATTGGTTGGTCAATCCTCCATTTTGGTTCCACTGCACTTTTTTTGGGCGGTTGGCGGTTGACACCCGTGGGTGAACTTCCCGAGTCTTCCGGAAGGCATTGACTTCTTGGGATCAGAGCGAATCGACTCTGCAACCAAGTTTATGCCCCAAGTTTGGATGAAATTCCTCAATTGTTCTTCCCAAAAAGATGAGTATCCCTTGTCCAGGATCGACTCCTCAACATGGATTACCACTGTGGAGGCTTCTATGAAGAGGTTGCAACCTTAGCAACGGCCCGAGCAGGAACGGGATTGCAGGTCTCACGGTTCTCACACAGCTGGGCTGTGCAGCCGTGATTAGTGGATCAAGAATGTCATTTGGGTTGATTCTAATTATGACCTTTTTCTTGTAACGCTATAGCTGGTTATATGAAATATAATTCTTGCCACCGCATTCTCATGAAAAAATCGATCATCCTACGCCCAAATGTATCATTTACCCTCTGGTTATTTAACATAGCCATGGAAAATAGCCCATAGAAATAGATGATTTTCCCAGCTAGAAACCTCCATTTATGGTTGGGATTTTAACCATGGCTATGTTAGTCATAACCAGAGGGTAGCTGGTAGCTTCTCAAGCCCTTCGAGGCGCCAAACCCGATCCTTTCGATCTTTCCCAGGTCTTAAGAAAGTATGGCCGGCAGGGTACGGGTCAAATGGCCTGGAACCTCAGGGGGAAAAATCCGGTCGGGAAAATCCCTTTTTTGGGTCATGTCATATGAGCGTCTCGAAAAGAAATGCCACCTGTTGATCATGGTTGATGATGGTAAATCTATGGTTAATCTATGGATAATAATGGTTGATTATGGTTGATTACATCGAGTTTTGAGAGACACAATTTTGCTCTGGACGAAATTCTGTTTCCGGAAATGGATGGAGACATGGCGATGATTCCAATGATTCACAGGGTGTCACAGCGGGTCTTGGTGAATGCTTGGTTTATGAATCAATTTCTAGCCACATATCGTGGAATGTGGGAAATATATGGAAATATGTCATTGAACACCAACTTTTCAAAGTGACACTGAAGCTTTCCCCCCTGACCAGCCATAACCGATGCCAAGATCTACGAAAAGTTTGGACGAATCTTCGCACGTCTGCCGCTGGCATCAGTTGTCGACAACCAGGCTGGGTGAGAGCAGAGATGGGGTTCACACCACACTTTCCCAGTTGCATTCTCCATTTTGGGTACGTTTGGTGGGGTCTTAAATTGCATAGCCAAAGGATGCCAAATCAAACGCATCTTTGTTGCGAAACGATGATGTTTAAATCCAAGGCACAGGTTTTGGGCACAAATCCTGACGAGGATTTTACCAAAAAGACATGATGGTCGGCAAATGGTCGGGTCCATTGTAAGGCCTCGATGATTTAGGATCAATGCCAACCCGGATTAAAGCCCCTTGTGGATTCATTTGGGGAAGGGGTTTGCTTTTGAAGAGTTAAGCCAATGAAGCAGCGAGGGTTCATTCAAAACGGATGGGTGATGATTGAATCTCACTTAATCAGAAATTTTGCTGGTGGAACACCTCCTTGGTTGCCCGTTTTGAATGGATTGCAGCCCCATTTTGCTGAACATTTCCCATGAAACTTCCCATCAGCAATCCATCGATGATCTCCGATGAAAAATCCGACAATTTTGGCCTGGTTGAATCCCATAAATTGGCCATCAATCCATCGCTATGCCAATGATTGCATATGATTGGTTGATTATTAGTATTATTGATTGGTTGATTGCATATATTCATTATTATTGATTCATTATTATTGATGATGAGTGTTTTTTTTTTTTATACAACATTACACACCATTTTGTCACCCTTATATCACCCATTGAATTCCACCATTTTTCTTGAGATCTTCGTGGTGCACGGCGGCCTCTCACGTGGCGCACCGGGGAGTTTCCTGCGACTGCTGGGGAAACCCACCCACGGGACCCACGGGGAGCGGCTGGCTGCAGGATGGTATTCAGTTTCCGAAGTCCCTGGAGGTTGTGGATGATTTATGTTTTCTTTAAAAAAAAAAAACAAATTGATCGTTTGATGAGGTTTTATTTGATGCTGGGAAATCACGATTTCAGGGATTTCACTCTGATTGTATTTGGGTTTTATGATGATTTATGAGAATATTGAGGGGTTAATAGGTAGGAAAAGAACCTGAGCACGAAGTCTAGATAGAAACGCTAAGGCTATAAGCCCAGATCTTCCCAATGGACATATTGAACATTGACTTTGCGTTTATCGGATGTGATGACAAATTTTGGACCTTTCTGACACCATTCTTGGTTGAAGGCTGGATGGATAGTGAGACAAGTGGTACCTGCTTCAAGTTTCGATTTACAGGCTGTGAATTTATCCTTCAGAAATTCACTTAAGATGGCTGTGTCCATGGGGCACCCCCCAAAATGACTCTATATGAATTCCATTTGGGTTTGCCCAATATTAACGGGATTGTCTAAAATTGTGCCCCAATATCTACCCAAGCTTGGCGGAAAAAATGGGGCATTACCATCGTCTCAGGCTCCGAGCCAACCGGAACCGCAACCCAGAGGTGGGATTTCCATGCCCTTTTTGAATATGGATCGATGAGTCTCCAAATCCAAAACTATGATCCAAACTCGATTTCAACCCCTACATATATATATATATGTATATATATATATAAATATATATATATATATATATATGTACAGGATTTTCAGAGGTGGACCATCGTTGAACCTGATTCAACTGGAGTACTAGCTGGTATCTCCCAGCTACTTGGAGGATCCGTGGAGCCTCCAAGTAGGCTTCCTTCACTCGTACCTCATTGTAAAAAACAAATAATTTCATAAACAGATAGTATGTTTTCACAAAATAGGAACTTAAGTAGATAACTACAAACATATATGATATATATATATATACTGTATAGAATATTATATAACACTAAGTTATATTGATATCACCCCAGCCAATCTGTGGTAACTTTACTCGCAGATCCCTTCGGCCTCGGCTGGCGCCTCTGCGGTGGATCTGGCATTCATCGATGCCATGTGGGCAGATCCTCAGGCTGGGGATCTGGAGCCAGGAAACCGGAAACCATGGGGATATGACTAACATAGCCATGGAAAATCACCATTTTTAATAGGTAAACCATCTATAAATGGGTGATTTTCCATGGCAAACTGTGAAATAACCAGATGGTAAACAAGAACTATATATAGACTTGTTGGTCTGTTGTAAACAAGAAATCCCATCCAAAGAATCAACAAATATATCCTGGGTCCTGGGATATTCTTAGGATATTTCGACAATTTGGATGGGATCTGAAGGAGATGAAGCAGCAAAAATGGAGGATTCGGGAGGATGAACCAGGAAAAACATAGAGCCAGTAACCAGGATTGTTGTCCACAAGGACTCAAATTACAGAAACAATGGGGATATGTACCATATATGTACCATATTAATAGCAAGATTTTGAGATATCAATCATCAAAAAAGTGGATCTCAACCAGCAAACATACACAAATTGAACTGCTTAACCCCACGTTGTGGCAGATTTAACAACCCCTCCGGGAGGAACATTTGAAGGTGAACGGTGAAAGGCATTTTTTTTGGCTGTAGCACAAAGGATCCGGCAAATGATCAGAGACTTGTAAATGCAGGAGATGTCTTAACCTTGCCTAGAAACTAGTATGTCTTGTGCGTCATTGGAGCCCTTGATGACTTTGGACAAAAGAAAACAACTGATGCACAAAAAACCTATACTAGAAGTTTGAAATGGACCTACATCACTTATGAACCCAGTTTTATTAAGTTTTATTAAGTTTTATAAACTTGTCTCCTCCCGTTGTTTGAACCTCACCACTCCCCGAAACGGGGGGATCTGCTTTTCCAGGAGTACCCTGGCTCCTCTCAGAATCCTCGGGGGCCGGGTCTTTCGGCGCGCGGACGCCCAAATCGATTTTTTTTCTGGTGATGGTTGGGCTACAGATTTTCCAGAAGATATACCCGACCTGGTAAACGTTTACAAAAAACTATGGAAAGATCCACCATTTTATAGCTGGGTAAATCATCTATTTCTATGGCCATTTTTAATAGCTATGTTAGTTTACCAGAGGGTACTGGAAATACACATGAAATACTGGTATTGTATTATATGACTTTATTAATGACTGGACATTAATGGTTGGTATTTTTCGAATACGCATGCATTTTTCACTGGCATACTGGGATTATCAGAAAACTCTCCAGCAAATTTCTGCCAGTTGTGACCTTGTGAGTTTGTGTATCTATCATTATCCACTGTTCTTATGTTGCATTATTGTGCACTAGAATCCACTAGATTATCCACGGTGATTATCCACCTATCCACTATTATCCACTATTATCCACTAGAATCCACTATCATTATCCACTATTATCCACTATTATCCACTATGTTATCCACCTGCTGGCTCTCCATTTTTCCGCCGCTTTGCCAGGTTTGGTCCCGATGTCACGGAACGGTTCCTGCAAGAGACCGGATATGCCTTGGTGGTGCGATCGCACCAGGCTTGCTTTTCGGTGGTTTCTGGCAGCATGTTCAGCTATTATCAGATATTACTATATGTTAATATATATATATAGATAAGTATATATATTGAACATATACAATCACATATATATATATATATACACTTATAAATATATACATACATATATACATATATATATATATACATATGTACGTATATATATATAGATTTACAGTAAGCTTTGGAACAAACATTCAAATGACACATGAATACATGAAATGCATCAGTAACACTTTTAACAGCACGAGAGACATCAGCTTGGGTCCAGAAGCATCTCTAGGCTACAAAAAAAGACTTATGTCAGCATTTTTGTTGCTGAAAGGTGCCTCCGAACAACGATGGCTTCTATGTCCACCACAACCGTTCCTGGGACGTGGATGGGATGGAAGTATCGGAGGGGGCGGGGAGAATAAGAGCATCGAGCTGACAACATTGCTCCTGAAAAGAGCAAGCTTCAGACTCGAGATGACGAAATTTGTGGACACTCCAGATTTTTTTTTGACCCAGAAATGGATCATAAAGACCTTGTTGGCTTTGCCCTACGCAGCTGCTCGCTTTGTTTCTGCGACCAAGGAAAACTCTTCACAGTGTTTAGTGCTTCGAACTACTGCGGACTCACAGGTGGTGGAGCCGGTGGCGGGTGAATGGGGTCTCCCCCTGGGGGAGCCCCTGGGTACTCTCCAAGTTGGGCCAGGCAACCAAGGAGCCGTGTTGATCTTGAAGAAAGACAGCCGGGAGACCTGGAAGTTTCGGCGATGAACACATCAAGCTGCAACCGTTTTAACTGGCGCTGTTAACTGGTGAATTTGGAGAGTATCAATTCACCATTGGAGTCATGTCCTTGACGTTTTGTCAATTGCAAGAACATCTGATAAAACTTCAGCGAAGAGGGCAGGTGAGACGTGGGGCAAGTCTGTGGTAGATCCCATGATTTTCCAGCATTTTTCCCGCTTACCATGTGGTTATGACTAACATCGCCATGGAAAAATACCATTTTTCATGGGCAAATCAACTATTTCTATGGGCCATCTATCCCATGGCAAACTGTTAGTCATAACCAGGTTGGGTAAATCAATCCAATGACCCCATTTCTTGGCCTTTGAATCACCCCTTTGGTTTGTGGCATAACCTCCCCATGAGCAACTTCCCATTTTTGGCTGAATGGTTACATCAGTTACATCCACATTCTGACGTTGAGAACTCCACTTGTTGGTTGGCCACATTCCCATTTTTTGTTGGTTGATTCCTCATCATTGTTGCATAACTTCCGACTTTTGCTTGGTTAAATCCACATGTTTGTTTATCAAATTCCCATTTTGATGACATGAATTCTTATCTTTGTTGCTTAGACTTCCCATCTTTATTTGGTCAAGTTCCAATTTTGGTTAGTTTGATTCCGGTTTTGTTGGGTAAATCAGCCCATTTTCGCTGGTCAAATCCATTTCTTTGTAGGTTTTTCTTCCTTCTTTGTCGGCTAAAGTGCTATCGCCTTTTTCCATCCTAAACCTATCAACCCCAGATTTCTGGATGGCAATCTTTCCCATTTTGGTGAACTTTTCACCTTTTCCCCACCGATGTCCTCCGAGCCTATCGAATCTGTCGAGGTAGCATCGAGGCGGTTCGGCACATGGCACCAGCCTTCGAGCGCCTACAGGAGGTGGTGATCGAGGTCTGGCCATGGTTTTCCGGCCTGGTGGTATCGTATAGAAATCCAGTGTTTTTCCCATTGAATACACCATTTATTACGCCATAATATACCATGGGATAATACACCATAATATACAATGGGATAACAGTTGTGTATGATCCCATTTTTTTAAAAAATGAATGAATTTGTTATGATTGTTATTGTTGTATGTTTTCCTATTACTATTGCTATCAAACCATGTTGTTATTGTTGAATGTATTGGGATACTGAAGTGCTTTTTCTTCTGTTTCTTCTGGGAGCTTGGGATGATTTCGGGCGATTTTTGGCAAACGTTTGTGGATTCGTTGGAAAATGGTTGGCCAAAGATCTGAGATTTTCCAAGAACATAGGGGGATTTAGATAGCAAAACATGGATGATTTGAAGGACCAAGCAGGAGATTGTTACATAATCTTTTGTTTCAATGTTACCATCACAGATTTTCTTTTCGAAGATATCATTTCAAATACTATTTTGAGCACCGACAATTGACAATTGAGGATTGCACACATGTTTTTTCTCAAAACTCCACGGATTTGGATATGAGCAAGCGACGTGCATCTCCCAATATTTCATTGTTTCTCGATGTATCATTTTGAGAACAAAATTCAGGGCTAGTATAATTTTACGAATTCTAGATTTCTACCAGCACCTTGAAGGCTTTAGATTCTTTAAATGTTGGAATATGTCAGACAGAAAATTGGTATTGAGCATCAACTGTTGATACCTGGACCATGGTGCTGGTAGATTTACTTTTCCGGCGCATCTCTTCCGGACGTTCAGTTCGAGCCCTGCTCATCTAGAAGATTCGAACGGATGGTGAGTGCTTGTGGGTTGATTCTCCCCATTTATACTGGGGGTTATATAAATGATGAATCGGACGATCCAGATTGCAAGCAAAAGATAAGGAGTTGACCACAAATCAGCTGAAATCATCTTGGTTTCTCTTCAACAGTCCTCATTTTCAAAGTCATCTTGACATAATCTTCTAAATCATCTTCCAAATCATCTTCAACACCTTAAAATCATCTTGAAAAACATCTGAACATCCTCCACTTGTCACCCACTTGACATCACGCCAGGCCCCAGAGGTTGCGGAGGCGGGGGGTCGGTGATGAATTTTCATCATTGAGGACAATTTTTGACATGGGAAGGCGAATCAACTTGATGATGACTACATTTGTCATAGATTTTATATTGGGTTATATGTAGAATTATGTAGATATCATAGGTATTAGTATATCTTGTTTTTTTTGTGATTTACACACAAAATAACCCATTTATACCATGTTATATCCACTTCTGCAGGTCCCCCTAAATGGGGGTTTCATCTTAAAGGCCTCACTTCAAGGTGACCCGGACTTTCCGGCCCAGGAAACACCTGCGGCCGTACGCCGCACGCGGCAACTGCAACGTCAATCCACCGTTGGCTGCCCAGCGTTGAGGCACAGACCCTTACGAAGGGGTTTCCTTCGCTGAAATGGATGGTTTATTTCATGGAAAATCCCATGAACATGGATGATTTGGGGGTACCCCCATTTTCGGAAACCATATGGGATGGGTCAAAACCTCAAAACCTTGTAGCCCTTTTGTTCACATCAACATAGCTGAATGGATGTTCATCCCCCTCAAAATGCTATTGATAGGTATTGATCCATCGCCATATAGCTCTACAACTGAAAAGACACTCTAGAAGCTCAGGCGAGGTGAAGGTAGAACGGCTGGACCGAAATCTGTCAGGAGGTATGGACAGTCTCTTTTTCCTGAGAGCTCATGTTTCTACATGAAGGTGATTTCCATTAAATATCCATTGGTTCCACCATTTGGGGAATCCACATTTTTCAATTCTGGGATCCAAAAACTCCCAGACGATCTCTAGCTTTTTTCCCCATCCAGTTGAATACATACCATACATCTCGTGAATCACAACGACCTGAAAACGCTGTTACCGCAGGCTGGTGACTCATGATGAAATCCAACCACGACTGGGATGTAATGTAAATATCATAGATATCCCACACACACACACACTTATTATATACATATCACACATATAGTACTATACGTATGTAAAAATATATGTATATATATATAAATACTATTTTTTGGCTCTGGCACACAGGTGCATCTAAGCGGCGGCCAAGCATCTGAATTCGCGGTGAGAAGCCAGTCAGCCTTTCTGTGCAAAGTCATATACATATATATATTGATATAAATATACATAAACATTCCATATGTATGTAGTGATAATCATATATATATACATAAACATTCCATATGTATGTAATGATAATCATATATAATATAACATAGGCATCTATGAACTGTTAATCGCCATATTGACTCAGCCAGATCCATGGCTTATCTTTGTTCGCCATCACCGAGGCCGGACAAGTGGAGCTGCGCGAAGCTCAAGCCTCGCTGAAGGACGAGGAGCGTGCGCAGAAGATGTACCAAGAGGTCGCTGGGCTGCCGGGTTCACGAAAAAAAGGTGGTATAAGTGGTACAAACCAGCAACAAATTAGGATGTTGGATGATCCCGGATGATCATTTTATTACTTTTTTTTTGCCAACTATTTGACTGTTTGGTTGATCTTTTGGATTATTCATCGCCATCAACTCTTATTGGCGCTTATGAAGCACCTGAACAAGATGCAGAACAGTTTTTTTTTAAAAATATTTTTTTACCACTAAACTTGAGTAGGATGTCTCGGATGTTGCCTTTCTACCTTTGCTGTGATACCACAATGAAAACATGCTGTGATGGGGTCCAAAAACAGGGATGGACTATGGCTGGATGTGGTTAGTTTCAGCCCATGATTTGAAGCGCATCAATAGTGATTGGAGTAGCAGCAGCTTTTTTTAGGGTCATAGCAGCTGAAATGCAAATATGGCTGTGGCAAGAGTGAGATTTGGATTTGAGTCAATGGGAATAGCACCAACTGGAATGCGCATATCATATCAATATGGGATTCACCATGTTTAGAATCATGTCCGTGGTGTTGGAACATGTCCCATGCTACACATATGCGTAAAGTCTCATCAAGGCCGGGCAATGGAACATCCCTAATGAAAAGCTCCAAATTTTTTGTGACCGGATTTTCCAGCCACGTTGGATGACACCTGGAGTCACTGAAACCACTAAAGCAATAGAAAGATCCAAAGCCTCAAAATGATTTATTTCTTTTCACCTGATTCAGATTTTTAGGCAAATCATGCAGTGGTGTCGATGGTAGAGTCATGTGGGCTTCAACGAAGAACATGTTATGACATGTGTGGCGTACAGAATGTTTGAAACGCAATAGGAGGGGATTCAATGAAACAATAGAAACTCTTTCGTGTCAACTGAGTGGTTTTCAATGTTCATTTGTTCAAATTGTGAAACACCATTCTCTATGTCTCAATTTTGCAATTTACTTGGAGGAAATCTTGGAAAAACATCACCAAGGAATCTATGAACTGAGGATCCCCAATGAAAACCAACCATTGACCAACCATTCCCCCTTTACCATTAATTATGAGCAACAAAGATGGATGAACGATTACTCACCAATTGCTTATGAATCTTCAAACACCAGATGAATAAATGATAATTTCAAGTAAAACATGTAAACCATGTACCAACCATTCTTCAACTATTGGTTGCTTCAATTCATAATAAATAGTTTTTTATCATTTTCCATTTGCAATTTGTAATCTAGCCCAATCACCAACCATTTCCCATTCACCAATCATTCTCCACAGCATCGACGGGGCGAGGTCTTTCATCACGCGTCGAGGTGGGTGGTGGAGAAGAAAGCGGAGCTCTTCGCCTTTTGGGAGTGCCTCAGATGCGGACTTTGGGATGAGCAAAAAGAAGTTGGGATTCACAAGTGACCCCCCTACCTATATATATATATGGTCAATATATATATATGTATATATATATATGTGTGTATATATATATATTGGAACGGGAGTAGCAAATTTCGGAATAAATTTCAGAAGGGAATCCCTAATTTTGGTATGGATTCAATCCGGAATTTTATTGACAGAAACAGATGATTGACCAGCTGATCATGGGAATATTTGGCATATGTTTCCTTTTTCTATGTCAGCAGATCAAAGATGAACTGTTCAGTTGAGATTCAAGGAGATTTCAAGGAGATTCGTTTGTTTTGTTTGACATTTTTGACGCATCTAGTTTTCAAGTTGGATTTTGAGTGTAATGGGTTTTAGGAAATAGAATCAGATTTGGGTGGGGTAGCTACTCCTTGACCCATCCTGGCGCAGGTGACCTAGCTGTAGGGATGAGACAAAGTTTTAAATCCCCTGATGGACCCCCCAGCTACGGTTTTTTTCCCTCTCAAGAGTACTGTAGGTGATCACATGATCACCCACCATAGTTTTACTACTTACCCTCTGGTAATTTAACATAGCTATTGAAAGTCACCATTTTTAATTGGAAAATCCACTATTAATGGTCATTTTCAATAGCTACGTTAAATTACCAGAGGGTAACCCCAGTAAAAACCGGTTACCAAATGATGGGTACTTTTTATCGGCTTCCCAAGGCAATGTGAAGCATCGCCGCGTCTTGGCGTCAAAGACGAAGACTTTGTCGAAGGGAAGATGAGAAAACACATATTTATTTTTCATGAAATTTGTAGGTTACATCGTCAGATTAGTTGATTTCATGTTCATATCTTTTTTAATTCCCCTAGTTTATGAAGAATTTATGTTTGGTATATGTCATTTTTGTTTGTTTTCTTTCCATTATTTTATATTTACATATCCTTACATTCCCATTGGTTAGCTTGCTTGCGACCACGACCACGAAAAAAAAACATAAAAATGGACTCATACAGACGAGGCCGCGTGGCTTCATCACCAAGCGTGAATGGGAGGTGCCCCACGGGATCTGCCATGAGAAACTGTTGATGGTATCCCAACAGTACTAACCTATGGTGAGTGGGCAGGGTGATGATAAGATCCACTTTCGTGGATTCGGTCAGTCTTTTTTTGTATCGTAAAGCCATACAACTCCCATGTTGAAGCCCGGGGAAGGCGCCGCAACGATACGTACCGCTTTGGCTCACAGGGGCATGTTCATCTGCTCCTTGAAATGCGTAGAAAATGAAAAGAACCCGTGGAGAAATAGGTGTTTTACAGTCATGGGATGTCATGGGTAGCCCAAAATCCAAAAACCATAAGTCGGAAATTTCCAAGCCAGAAGTTTTCCAAACGAGAGTCACGTCGGACCATGTTACAATGCAAACATCCAACTATGGATCCAGCTAAAGGCTGGTACCCCAAGTCAAACCGCCCTGTAAAGGTGATCAAGAATTTCCAAGAATGGATGCAGCACCAACAATATCTTAAGAATAACCATCATTTGGTGATAAGTTCTGGATGGTTAGATGATATCATATGATATCCAACAAAATCCATCCCCAGTTCATCTAATCCCACCACCAACCACCCGTTCTTCCAATGGACGTGGACGACAACAGCGACGACAACAGCGCCTTGCGCTGCTTCCACGGCCCAAAGGCGGCTGGGGAAAGGACCAAGGTGCTGCTCTTTGGCGATGCTTGGTGTCAACGGGTGTAAGCACCTTAATCCCATCTCCCGATTGAAGCAGGTTTAAGGAGGTTTAGCCTTGAAAAATGGTGATTTCAGAGGATATGAATGGGAATATATCAATAGTGATTTTGAGATTAATTAGAGGGAGTTAAAACCAACAAGATAAGTATAGTATCTAACCAACAATATAGTGTAACCATAATCCCACATTCATATGATATATACCCCCTAGACACTGTGGTGGATGTAGAGGATGAAAACACATTTGCAAACAAGTTGCTATATCGCAGTTTTTGGGCAAGTGGAGATTGGCGAATTTACCGAAGAGATATGGAGAATGTGGCCCCCAAAGTACCTTATTTCTTCATTGAACCAGATGATTTTAATTAGTTATGAAATTCTGCGATATTTCACCAACACAAGACCAAGTCCACCCAACTGAATTATTGTGTTTTTGATTTAGTCGACAAGCAAAACAGGCGTTCTTAATTAAGAGAGCAAGTGAAAGCTATAGAATAACGATGGGAATGTTTCAAGTGCATCAAGAATTTGAGATAGCT